GTTTCCTGTGGAACCCTACAAAACCATTTTCAGATTCTAGTGTCTGATGAAGTTTATACTATACCCTTAGGAAGGGAATTGCTCTGTGCCACAGCACTCCTGCTGCCAGCAGAATTACACCAGGAATGAATATGAATGAAGTTGGGGTGTTTTTTTTTTGTTTTAAGTTCTGAAAAATTGGAATTACACAACACGCAAAGAGAGATTAGATGTTAGATTCCTCCTGAAACTCCTTCTGCTGTTTTGAATACTGGCATTACTCTGGACAGCACAGGTGATGGAGGAAGTTTCTATAGTATGGATACTAGAGATATAAAACCTTCTTTGAGATAATTCATCTGCAGAAGATAGCTTGTGTTTGAGAGGTACTCTCCTGATCTCACATAGCATATGTCTCTGTGGAGCTGAGAAAGGCTGTCAGGGAAGATCTCCTTTTCCAAAAGGCACGTTTGAGCCTGGTTTCTCAAGTAGATCTTTCTGTCATTCACAGGCACAGTTTTTCAAAGCTCTACAGATTTTTAAAAGAACAGAAAAAACAGCCAGTAATTCTAAGTTATCTTCAACAAAAAAGTTTTTTCCTCCAGTCTCCTGAGCATTTGTTTTTCCTTTTATTGTGAGTACATTTGGATGGCAAGCTCAGCCTGTAACTGTGGTGGTGGTGCTGGGGTGGTTAAATGCCCTAGGCAGTTTGATGTCAATAAAGAAATAAATATATTGCCTTTGACTTGAAATCCCCCCCTTGCTTCAGTCGTGTCTGGCCACAGTTTGCCCAGTGCAGCCTCTGCCCTCTGGGAAAATGTGTTTTAATAGCAAAGTAATGGGGACTTATGGCCACTGGGTGATTTTAGAAAGCTGGTAAAAACCAAGACTCATGTGCAATACACGAAACTCAACAATCAAACAAAAAACTTGGCTACATTTCAACTGTAAAAACAGGGGGCTGATGACTGCTCAAAAGTGCTGGCCTAATCTTCAACTAGAGTAAATCAGGATGGCATGGGTATAATTATTAATGCTTATTCAACATCTCTAGTACTTGGTGAGGAACTTTTTTTAAAAGCTGAACTGACTTCCCACATGAATTTTCACTATTCTTGAACACCGGGCCAAATTCTGATTCTTAGTCAGGTTCCAATAATAGAAAACACTCGTGCAGATAAATTCTTGCTTAAATTATATATATTCCAGCAGGAATATTGGCCTATGGGATGTTTAAAAGAGGGGTCAATAAGAAGAACACTTAATACCAGGAAAAAGTCAGGAAAGCTGGTTTCTCTCTGCCTAAGTGTGTGACGCAGTAACAAAAGAAACCAGAAAGGATTCCAAACCTCAGCATCAAAGGCAGATCTGAATTTACCCAGAACTAAGGAATTTGCAGCTTCACAAAGCTTGAAACAAACATTTTACAAAAGCAGGAAGTATTGGCAAAATTTGTATCTCACCCCAGAATTTCATATACAATGATATAGCCATTCATTTTCATGCATGAAGGAGCCTATCCATCTCCTAGAGATGAAAAGCAATCTGAGTGAGGCCTTGAGGATCCCAACTGTCCTTGGGTAAGGAGTAAAAAAATCCTTCTCAATAACAGACTTCAACTCTCCTACTATACATCATCCATTTTCAAACGAAGTGAAGAGTGGCAAGGAAACTGTTTATCTCTCTGAATATTACTTGTCCTGGTCTGGTGAAACTTAAGGCCCTGGTTTAACATTTGCAACACGAGAAGAAGAAATGAAGTTTAGTTTTCCTCTAATTTTCCTATGCCTTCTTCCCTAAAACCTGTTGGACTTAGCCATCCCTGCTCCTAATGCCAAATCTGAGGACTGCCATTCTCCTGTGAGCACGCTGGGCTATTTTGAGTAAACTCCATTCTAAGTCATGATTACGTTCAGAGTTGGGTTTAACTTTGGCTCTCCTGGCCACATTCCAGCTAGGATAATTATGTTCTGCTTGCCAAAATTCCCCATGTAGTTTCAGTGCAGAACAATCTATCCCTCAAACATCTCCTCATACACTTGTGCCTGTTGTTTTTAAACACCTGTCACATTTTACCCTGAAGGTGGTTGAACTTTAATGCTGTGAAAACAATCTCTGCATTTACAGCTCATAAAGTGCTTTAGGATCTGCTGGGATTAAGAACATTGAATGCAAGAACAAATGAATGCAAGCTGTAATATTAAAAATATATGAAACCTTATAGTAACTGTTGCCATTGCTTTTGGCACTGCATCCCCTCTCCCGAAGGACTTTAACTGCCCTGACAGATGCTGGAAAAGCAACACAGCAAAGCATAAACAGTCCAGGAGGTTCCTGGAAAGCACTGATGACAACTTTCTGACACAGGTAGCGGAGGATCCCACAAGGAATGGTGTGCTGCCTGACCAACACTACCAAACAGGGAAGGCCTTGTTGGAGCTGTGAAGGTTGGGGGCAGCCTTGGCTGCAGTGACCATGAGCTTGATGAGTTCAGTATTGGGCAAGGAGGAAGCAGGGCAGCAAGCAAAACTGTAATCATGGACTTCAGGAGAGCTGATTTTGGTCTCTTTAGGGGATCTTCTAAGAAGAATTCCATGGGAAGAGTTCCTCCAGGGAGGGAGGTGTTAGAAGAGTGGGTTGATATTCAAGGATGATATCCTCCAGGCTCAAGAGCAATGCATCCTGATGAGGAAGAAATCAGGCAAAGGGGGCAAGAGACCTCTGTGAATGAACAAGGAACTCCTGTCATTATTGAAGCAGGAAACAAACAGGAGATGGAAGCAGGGTCAGGCTACTTGGAATGAATATAGAGAGGTTGTCAGAGTAAGCAGAAATGAGACCAGGAAGGCCAAGGACCATCTAAAATTAAATCTGGCAAAGAATGTCAAGGACAAGAAGAAAGGCTTCTTCAAATACATCAATAACAGAAGGAAAACTCAGGATAATGTGGGCCTGTTACTAAATGGAGAGGGGGCTCTGATGGTGCAAAGAAGGCAGAATTACTGACAGCCTTCTTTTCATTGGTTTTTACTAACAAAGTCAGCCCTCAGGAATCTCTGACCCAGGAGAGCAAGGTAAAGAAATGCTGGAAGGAAGACTTTTCCTTGGCCAAGGAGGACTGGGTCAGAGAACAGCTAGGCAAACCTGACATCCAAAAAGTCCATGGGCCCTGATGGAATGCATTCATGATGGACGCCATAGCGAGGCTGCTAACAATCATTTTTCAAGATCTTCAAGATATTCAGGAGCTGTCTGGACACAATTCTGTGCCACGTGTTCCAGGATGGCCCTGCTTGAGCAGGAGGCTGGATCAGATGACCCATTGTGGTCCCTTCCAGTCCGATCCATTCTGTGATTCTGTGAACCACAGTTGCAGAATGGAGATGGTTCTTCAAACTGAATCCAGCTGGAAGAAGTGATCACACATCCACCTGATTCTTCCTGTAACACACCAGGAGCACAAGAAACTTGCTGGGTTGCCAAAGAAAGGGCTACAACTGCCTCAGTGCTGTGAGTAGATCTAAGCCAGGCTCCTTCAGAAAAGTGTTCATAACCTAAATTAAAAGACTCAGCAGGTTCACAACAGCAGACAGGTGAAGGAAAGGTATCACAAATAATTTCTCCAAGGGTTTGTAAGTTTCTGGCTGACTCTTCAAGGAAAGCAGATTGAATTTACAACACATTCCATGTATCACATCTTTTAATGTTGATAAGATCTCCTCCTCTTCAGTTTGTAGAGGAGAGGGCCAAGGGTATGTGTGGGAGATACAATCAAGGTTTACAAGGTTATGGAAGTGATAGATAAGCTGAATGTGGAACGGTTGATCACCTAATATCACAATATTAGAGGGAAAGGACAGTGACTGAAAGCAGCAATAGATCATCTTAGAACAGATAGGAGAAAATTCTTGTCTACACAGCAGGTAGTGAACATCTGAAACTTGTTGCCACAGAAGACTGTGAAGGCAGACAGCCTTAAGTCAGGTAAATCCATGGACAGGTCCATAGAGGCAAAAAGCAGAAGTGTGCCTGCTAATATCTTAAATTCAATAAGCATGAATTTGGGAGCAGTAAAAGGAGATTGGAAAGTAGAAAATACTCAGGCTCCTGTCAGAACCTGAACACTGAGTCAACTGGTAAACAGGTATGACAGAACAGAGCATTTCTTATTCACTTATGATGAGCATTTGAGAATCACCAAAGAGCTCAAGGTAGGCCCAAGGACAGGACAGAGCCTCAAAATACTCCAGCATGGTCTCATCTATAGCAGAGGTACGCTTAACTCCTTTTTAGAGGAAATTTGGAGGGACTAACACATTGCCCCCAAAGCATAAAGTCCATACTTGTTCAGTCATACAAAAGGGAAGGAAGGACTCCTCTTGCCTATCCTTGCTCTCTGTGATGTTAAAAAATACACCACATAATATGGTATTTCATAACCTCTCTCTCACACATTCTTGAGCACCTTCTTTAACTACAACGGTGCAATTTCAAGGAGGAGGCATTAATCCCTCCTAACTGATGTATTTCTTTGTCACTAGTGTTCTGTGCAGCATTTGAAGGGTGTAATGCAGTTTGTCAGATGGGAGTTCTCATCAATGTATTTCTATTACAAGACATTGCAAAGCGTACAAGAATCACTAAGAAATGGAAATGGACCAGTCATTTCCACTCTTTGCTCTACACATACTGGTTTTGACTATCTATCACCTAAGAGGAATTTTAAAATAAGAACACTGTTATCCATCAGTTTCTCTTTTAGCTATTATGCAAAACCAGATCTGCTTATCCTGGGCATTCTGTGCTTTATTTAAATCCGTGTAAACTCAGCGTCTCCTCACTAATGTCCGGAGCAAGTTTACACTGCAGTTAAGATAAGAACCTGGATCAATAGATCTTCTGCAGCCTCTCCTTTCACCCACAATGGGGTTTTCTTCCTCTTAAAAAGGCTGACATTTGCCCTGGCTTTATCCCCCGAGCCCGGCCCAAGCCCTGATGCAGATGTCTGTGTGTGTACTCACGCCAGCCTCGCGCCGCAGTTCTCGCCTTCCATGTCGGCTCCAGGGACGTTGTCTGTGTTCACGGACTCGGTCTCACTGGTGGGCATGCTCACTGTAAGAGTCAAAGGGAAGAAAAAGAGAGGGTTGGTCATTAGAATCTGGCACATCTCTTAATGAGCCACATGAGCGAAGGAACTGGCTTAATGAAAAGACCCTCAGCTGCAGCTCCTGAGGATTAAGCAATTTGCTGAGCAAGTCTTGTGCCTCCCTGTACAGACCAGGCTGGGCAGGTAGACTTCAGGAACATACACAGGTTGCTCAAGTTCTAAAGATAAGGGAAGAAGCAGCTGCTCTCTTTCTTTCAGAGTCAGTTTCTGGAAATTTTATGAATGAGAACGATTGAAAAGCAGATGAACCCAACAAGAAGCTTCTGTTTGATTCAACAGAACACTTTAAAAAGGAGCCTCTTTACCTGCAGCAGCCCAACCACCTCACTGCCCTTCCTAATCTTTTGTGCAATGATTGAATACAAATAAAAGGTACCAGGATTGGCATGTGTGCAGATAAACAGCTTCTTTTAGCCTGATAGCAAATACCACATAAATAATACTGATGTATTTTGTATGCTGTGTATCTGTCACATACTAACCATCCATGTGTTTCAACCTTACAATTATAAACTGGACCTATAGGTATAAAAGAGAAATTCAGATTGTCTGACCCACTCAGATATTACCAACAAAGGAGCCAATGAATATAGACATTGGTGGAGATTATACACTGGCACTCACCATTGAAGAACTGGACAGAATTTCCTAGGCTTTTACAGAGGTATCATGGAACAAACATCAACTGAAAGCAACCTTAGGTGTGAACCTATCTCATATGGATCCAAGAACCTGTCACATTTTCTATCTGTTATCAAATCTCAACATTTGATTTGTTTCTACAGGTCATTAAAAAAAAAAGAAGAAAGAAAACCCACACTGTTTGCATTTCACCAACTGTTCATGGCTCCTATATGAGCTCTAATAACTCCTTAATATACAATAATTCAACATAAGTTAGGAAAATGGACAGGATTTAATATGTGTTCTCTTCCCTCCTCCCCTCTTTTCAAATACACAAAACAATTGAAAAAGTTATACTTGAGACTGAGTGATGGTGGTGTTAAAACAGATCTCCCAGAAACCTGGTAGAACTTCAGAACATGACCTGTATTAGCAATTGGGTATATATATCAGATGAGACTTGAGAGCATGCACTACTACCTGGTGGAGAGACTTCTAATAGCCTGTAAGAATATGTAACTTAGTACTAAGAATACATCTGCTTGTGGGCTGTTGATACAAAAGTAGGCAACATAAAAGAAATGGGTTCTGTGTTTCAATTGGGCAGATGCTCAGAGGGCCATGGGACCAGGTCATCTTTCAGGGGCTAGAAAGACATCAGCAGGTTCTTCCAAAAGTATTCTTGGGTTCTTGCTTTGAAAGCATTATGGGAGAAATATCCCTCAAAATGAACTATCTCATCCCATCACAAAAATGCATGTACCTAAAACACAAGTCTGGGAAATCTGAAGTTCTTACGTTGTGTCCTTAGGACAATATGAAATAATTGACCCTCTAGCACTCTTGACCGAACTATGAAATATTGTACTCTAACAGTGCCTGTTCCTTTATGAAGACAGATGTTTTAATAATCTTGTTTATTTGGAAAGATAAATTAAGGATAAACTGAATTAATATTCTGGTGTACATGAAACAGTCAAGTAAGCTGTAAGAAAAAAACCCAACATTCATAATTAAAATTTTTGTCCAGACTAAGCCCTGCAGGAAAAAAACCCCAAAACACTGATATTTTGCAAGTCATTTTTGAAGATGAGGTAAAGCACTTTCAAGACATATTTGAGCTTATTTGCAAATGGAAAACAATTTCAAAGACATTAGCAAGAGACTGATTTGCAGAGCAGCTTGTTATCTTGAGTGCATGAAGAGGATATTGCACAAACAATAGAAAAACCAAGGCACACACATGCAGAATACAAAGCTGTATTACATGCGAGTCTGCACTGAGCTATACAGACACACATACACAGATATACACAGTGTGGACATAGAGTGCAGTGCAACATTACCATGGGTTTCTGTAGAGTGACTAAACCAAGCAAACTTTCCTTTCTTCTCATCAGGCAAACCAGCTGGAGTGCTTCCTTTCACAGACAAGATGGTCAGTGTCAAGTACCAGGAACAAGACATCAATAGAGAACATGCAGCCAGTGACAGGCAAAAGAAAAAGACAAGGAACTCAGCTTACACATGATATCCACTTCTGTCTGAAAACTTCATCATGTGAATTAAAAGTACAAAATGTAAAACAAAGGTATACAGAGGTATGAAATATCACTAACAGATCCTCAGAGGATAACTCTTACTTGATCTATTCTCTTTTTTTATGTCTGGCTTCTGAGAACATGAAGTTGATGAATATAAGGTTATGGGTCAGATCTTTTTTCAGTGATGTCAACGGCAAAACTCTCTTTGTTTGACTGTCTGACCTATTGAAATTGATGAGACTAAGGCAATGGCAGTGTCCCCAGGTTATCCTCTGACCCTTTGGGTCATATTCTGAAACAGCCTATATTTGAATGAGGCTCATCGGCTTCCTTCCTAAGCTGCTCCAATATCTAGAGACTCTTCCAAAACTGTCGGCACTGCTAAAGGCAAGTTGTAGGGGTGAGCACATTTCTCCTCATCTCCAGAGATAACAACATTCATTGAGGACTCAGACACACACTGCCTTACCAAAACTAGGTTACCCCTGGACTACAACTCGTGAGTTCTGTTTGAGTTTACATATGGCATTTGCCCCCTGACATCATCCTGTTGCTTGGCTTTTCACGACACTACTTAATGTTGATCCTTTGCCTGTGATGCACAGAGGGCCTCAGCCCACACAGATCAAAGGTGCACACACAGAGACATCTTAGATTGTAGTTCACACTTCCCTGATGCTACTGCTGTGAAAAATCAGACTCAGTTACAGTGAGAGATGCAGGTGCAGCGGTACATGAACTGAAGAGATCCCATGGATCTGTGTGCAGGCACCAGCTCACAAGCACTTAATACACTGGACTGATGGAAAATGTTAAGGACAATGAGAAGTATTAAAGGGGTATGAAGTATTAGAGGAAGATAAAGGTCAGAACAGACAGGAGATTAGGACTACCTTCCCCAGAGCAGAATGCTCTCAGCAGCACAATCACTTGCTTTACTTGGCACCTCAAACCACATTCAACACCAGGGGATAATCAGGTGTGCAGATGCTGTGAGGTTCGTTCAGGCCAGTTAACTAAACCTGAAAATGGAAGATGCTGGAGAAGAGTTGTGTATAAACTGGGGCTGAATATGAGGGGAAGTAGACCAAATACTGCCCAGATGGCTTTCTTATCTGACTCAGTTCTCAGAGAACTCAGACTTTGTGCATACACCCTGGCTCCAGTCTAGAAACAAGACAGGGATTTTTTGCAGTGCGGGTAATTAATTACTGGAACCATGTACCAAGAATGCTGGTGGTAAATCCACCACAGGAATGTTTTAATCAAGAAGAGATGTTGTTTCCAAATGGTGGGCTCAAGTCCAGACCAGAGTTGTATTTAGGACCATGGTATACAGACTATGCCATCTCGATGGCCACTTCCTCCCTGTAATTTTGGGAGCTGAGACAAAGGCAAAAAAGAGACCAAGGCAGATTTCCTCCCAGGTGGACACAAAGTGACTTAGCAAGGGAAATCCAGGTGCCTTGCATCCTATGGCATGTGTATTCAATGACCTATGCAGTGTCACAGGCGTAGTTCCCTGTCAACTTCAAAATATCCACTGCTTGTAACAAAATCAGAGATCCCCAGGGGTCTTGGCTCTGCCAGCTGTAGAAGGACCACACCTCCCCACTTCCCAGCCTTCAAGCAAAGCAATTAATCTTCTATCTACCGAATAATTTGCACTGAAGGTGCTTCAGTGTCCAAAATGCAGCATGGGCAAGGCATTCAACTGCCCACCTAATCCCCTAAGGTATTTGGTCAATCTACTAAGTACCAATATTTTATACAGGGGACTTGCTGACAGTAGAGAACAACTCTGTCCCTACATCGATCCATCCTAAGTGACAGCAGGTTGCTGAAGGGGTGAGAAGGCATTTCCATCAGACAGCTTGCCTCTGCCTGACTGCCCCAGGAGCAGCAGTCCAGCTAACAGGGCAATGGGCACAGAGTGGGCAGCTCACTTCAACCAAACCAGCACAGTGAACCACTAACTACACAGGGACAGGTCCCATAGATTGTATTACATATTTTCACAGAATCATGAATGGTTTGGGTTGGAAGGGACCTTTAAAAATCATTAAGTTCACTCCTCATGCCATGGGAAGGAACAAATGTAATTAGATCAGGTTGTTCAAAGCCCCACTCAACCTGACCTTGAACACTTCCAGTGATGGTGTATCCATAACTTCTACGAGCAACTAGTGTACCTGTTCCTCAGGCAAATCATGGTGGCTTTGCTTACAAGGGAATCTCTTTTTTTTTTTTTTTTTTTTTTAGATTTATCATCACATCCATAACCCGCTCTGGCTGATGAAATCTTCCATTAGCTACACATTCTCTAGGTAGCACAGCATAGCATAGCATAGAAATTTTTTTCAATGGAATTGAAACAGCTTTTCAAAGGCTTGCAAGTATTGCGTGGTTTGAACAGTGCAAACCATAAGGACCAGTAGGTTTGACATTCTCTCTACAGTGCCTTCTGAAGCCTTTGCACTTCTTACATCTTGCCACAGTGTGGCTCATGACTGAAGGAAGACTTTTAGTCTACCTTAGGAGACTTACCTAACCTCCAATTTCCCATTACTTACACAGCATTCCTGCATCAGTTAAAGCAACAACAAAAGCTACGCAGCAGCTTCCTTAGAAATAAATCTGAAAAATGCTTCATGTTATGTTACTTCTAGCTCTGAAACCCAACAGACAGACAGAAATGAGGGCAGAGCCTGCAGTCTGTGACTGACTAGGCAGACAGATGTGCAAGACCCTTTGAGAGCCTCTGTTCCATGTCACTGGCATCAAGCATTGATACCAGCTCTACCCTTGCACTAACATATGTCCCTCCTCCAATGAAATGCCCCATGGGCATGCAATGAATTATTAGATGGCTGGTTGCCAAAAGACAGCCAACTGCTGAAACAGAAAGCTGGCCCAACCAAATAACCTTCTGTGCAGTCCTGAGACAATTTTTCCCTTACACACTGGGAGAATAATATTTGCTTCCCGGTTCAGAAACATCATTACCACTGTTGCATCTTGCATTTATGAAATGTTTGTCATCTTGGCAGTGGAAGTAATTCTAATATTCAGATTTATTTCCGTGGATTATACAATGCTGCCGCGCTTATTGCTTTACCTCACTTTAATAATTTATGAGCCAGAGAAGATCACGCCTGGGCAAAGGGTGCCCAGTTCCAGAAACACAGACAAAACATAAACTTTTCACAGTTTGTAATGGGACATCTTACTACACGTCTTTGCAGGGCAATAATTTTAGAACTGAATATATCACAGGCTATCCACATTGTGTGACCTCACATCTAATTTCTACTGGTATTGAATTACTTTGCATAATATGAGTGTAAATAACTCCTTTTGCCCACACTGGCATTTGAGATCAGAAGGACCTGCAGTCACTTCACCACCATTTCACCTTATTGTGTCACCTTGGCCACATGACCAAGACTTTCTACATATCTGTTCAGTTTCTCTAACAGGGGGATTGTAATTTTGCACTCACCTTGCAAATCTCTCCGAGATCTGCAGATGAAACACATCACAATAAGTGCTAAGTACTATAGTTATTACTGATGTTAATGTCTCCCAAGCGGGACTCTGCAGAACTATAAAGCAAATCTAAAGAGCAAAGTAGTCCTGTAAATTCTCCAGCTGGGATTTAAGATTTCTTTTCCCATCAAGTACAACAAGAATAAATTGCAATATTCAGGCTGCTTCCTTTAACAGAATGTGCATCGAGTGAATGACTTTGTCTCTGGTAGAAACTCTGCTTCCCGTGGTGCTTTTCATGCCTATCATTTCATGAATGAGTCTATGGGCAGCTGTCAGAATATCAATTGATCGCATTTTAATTAATACAAGAATATTGCCCAGCTTTCCTCTTGTCACTGCCTGTTTTGGAAACGCTGGACTCATTCATCTTATTAATTTAAATAAGATACAGCTTTCATTCTGCTACATGCATACAGTGTCTTGGGAACAATCAGTGAGTATGCTCTTAATGCAAGCAGCATGCAGAAGGGAAACTGCAGAGGTAAGAGATTAGTTTTCTCTAGATGTCCTGATTTTGTCAGGAAAATTTACTAGGCATGACTGGGGTATTCTTTTGTGTTTTCTTCTTTGAAAAGGAGTTCTGTGAAAGAAAAGCTTTTACAGGAGAAGAGGAAAGGAAACTTGAACTATATGTAGGATCTTGGTGATTACAGACCTCCCAAAGTTAGAGGGAATGCATCAATAAACCTAGCACAATAAAAAAAAATCCAGAAGAATTGTGAAAATAGTTGGAAAATGCTTGCCAAGGGCTCAGAGGCCAACACTCACAACACACAGTATTATACACTACATACAATATATCTACTATATTACATTAAATGCATGTAATATATTCACTTCGCATAACCTAATCTTTGATTACATACAAATGACTGTGATTGCAAGAGGTGTGTGAGAGTGATTCACACTTTCACTTAAAGTCAGCCAGAGAACCCAGGACAATAATAAAGAGCCATGAAGTGACTGACAGTTGTATCCACTTCAGTCTAACAGGAAAAGGCTTTTGGTAAAAAAGATCTTTTCATCAGTGAACGAGCAGCAAAGGCACTGCAGCTTACTACTTGTGTAGTAACAAGACCTGCTATCACACTAAAACCAGGCTGGGCACTGGACGTGCACCACAAGGGACTGAGGCAGTGCAGCATGGCCTTGCTGAATGGAGAAGTACAAAGTAGGAACGCTGCCAGTACTGAGAGGGAGTATCCCATCTTCAAACTTCGTTCATAGATAAATTATATACTTTACAACAGAAATTGCAAAGTATGTCTTTTATATAAAAAGACTTGGGTTTACTTGTCCTTCTCTTCTTCCAGAGTGTCAACATA